TACATATATATTACTATATATATATATAGTAATTTTGATTCATAAGTTCCAATGTACAAATTACAAACAATACATTCTCAGCAATAAAGTTTTTCAAAAAATTGTATAAAAACGAAATAAATCGCAAATTATCACAAAACTCAGCTTATCACAAAATTGACACCTTGAAGGAGTGTTAATTGACACATAATATGCAACATAACTATATTATGGATTTAAATATATTATGTAATTAGATTGCATACAATTCTTAATATAGGTTTAAAATTTTACATAGCTATTTTGTGTATTAATTATTAAAATTGCATGTGTATACTGAACGTAATTTTATATGCAATTTACTTTTTAAAAGATAAAAAGAAAGAGAAAAGAATTGTTGAAAAACAAATTTGAAAAAAAAAAAAAAAAGGAACCAAAACATCTTCCAGAAGATCCTAGCATATTCTTTTTAAAAAAGAGAAAAAAAGAGAGAGAATGAAATAAATCAAACTATTTCCAGTCACAATAGAAGACCCAAAGCTTTTCTAAGAAAGCAAAAGAGGCCCTCCGCTATCCCACCATGATAAAACCTCCTGCTATTTAATGGAGAAATTATTCAACAAGGAAATTTGTGTATTTATTATCCTAAATAGTACTTTGGTACATAAAATTAATAGTGCAAGATCTTTACCTGGAATGTAAAACATCAAGAATTTCAAATATGATTAACTCGAACATCGTACAGGAAAGAGAAAATGTAATGGAGAACATAAGTTGTACAAATACATGATGAACCTAAATAAATATTACAGACATAAATTAGCACTAAGTAAAAATCTATTACACAACTAAAGTGTTCACTAACAAGCTATTGTTTAGAACCCAGCCATCGGTATTAAACTGTCCAACTAGTTTATTGCACGCTTTGATTTAATGAGATTTCAGGAACAGGAAGAAATTTTCAATTAATGGTTAATTTAAAATTCAGTTATTACAAGAATAACTCGGATTTGAGGAAGATACTTTTATAAATTTGTGTAAAATTACTGAAAGTTTTCTATTTGATAAGTTAAATTATAAAATAAAAATTGTCAACAAATAAACAATAAAGATCAATTAGGAGAAAATCTTGAGAAATAAATCAAATTTATCATAGAGTATTTGTTAAAAATAAAATTTGCCCTTACTGTAAAACTAAAAGAAAGATCAAGTTAGATATTTTATAGTTTGCTGCCTTTTTTTAAAAGTAGTCTATTACATGTACATACTGTAACAAATAATATCCTGTTTTTTTTTCAGCCCACAAGATATCTGAGATTTGCTTATTAACATAATCAGGGGTCTGTCTAGGTTTTTTGAGAGGCACCAATTTTGTGAAAATTTAGACATAATTTGTGAAAATTAAAAATTACTATATTAAAAAATCAACACAAAAATATGGATTTATCGTTTCTTACGGGATACAAAAATAAAACTTTAAGAAAAAGTATTTTGTGAAGGCACCGATAAACATTAGTAAATTGGCCTGGACTACAACATTAAATAAAATGAAATACAAAGAAAATATTCAAAAGGAATTCTGCATATTCTCTGTTTTAATGCAAACTACACATTTTAAAAATAGGAAAAAAAATTCATAAAATCATATCATAAAATATTTTAATACTGAAAAAAAAAAATGTATACAAAAATCGAAAAGTAAAATATAAAACTTAGACAAGCTCATTTATTCTATTTATACTTTTGATTGAAATAAGTATAATGATTAATGTAAGATAAAAAAAATACTACTTAGTTTACATTATTTAATTAACTTTTTAAATAATCAGAAAATGGATTTGATAATGCTGTATTTTATTTTATGCACTTTTCGAACATCATCATTTTATTTTAATAGATATTTTTACATTAAAGCTGTGATATCCAAACACTTAAAAATTATATGTTCATTCAAAGAAATGAAGATTCAAAAGATTATTATTAAAAAAAAATATATGTTTAATTATATTATATTAAATTTAATTTTTCAGGGACATTTCCGTATTGTGATCTGCCACGCCACATAGATTTTAAACTGGTAAAAAAAATTTTAAAAAAATATGTAGATGTTTGTCTAGGGGTGGCTACACGTTATACCTTTCAAGTTGGTCCCTTGCTGTGGTGTTGTTTCAGTTTCTTGACGGCCGCTGCTCGAAAGTAGCGAAAACTTGGTGATTATTCTGTGAAAGATCAGGATACAAAGATGGGGAGATATCCATATCGTGATCTGTGGCAGAATAATCGCCAAGTCTTGGCAATTTCTGGGCAGAGGCCTGCAAGAAACTAAAAAAAAAATCCCAGAAACGGACCAACTCGAAAGGTATAACTCATAGCCACCCCCGGGCAAACATCTACATGTTTTTTTTTTAAAAATTTTGCGAAATTAAAATCTATTTGGCACCTTGGCAATTGCTGTTGGAGTAACAGATCGCGATACGGAAAGATCCCCACAAAAATCTCTCCCCCTCCCCGATGTGTACAAATATTTTAAAATCAATGTAAACGAAGAAGGGAGTTGGTCCCCTGTGATGTACTTTTTAGTTTCCTGCGGGCTGCTGGAGGATCAACTAGAGAGGTACAACTCTAAACCACCACAGGGTGAAAATCTGGGGAGATAACCACATCCTGATCTGTGGCAGAATAATCGGCAAGTCTTGGCAATTTCCAGGCAGCGGCCCGCGAGAAACTAAAAAAAAAAAAAAACCACAGAANAAAAAAATCACAGAAAGGTACCATCACGACATGTATAGCTCATAGACATGTATAGCTCATTTTTAAATTGCAATTTTAAAATCTATTTGGCACCTTGGCGATTGTAGTTGGCACGACTGATCAGGATGCGGAAATATCCCCGAATTTTCTGCCGCCGATCATGATACAGAAATCTTTTAAAAATCATATGCAAAAACAAAGAAAAGCAAAATATTATAGAGAAACTGTATTACCTCATAATCTCGGAACAATTGCTTCATGAAAAAAACCCAACCACCAGCAAAAAATAAAACCTGAAATATTATGATAATTAAACACAGCTTTAACTACAATACAAAAAATGCTTTAAAATTCAAAAACATACCTGAGTTACAAATACAATGAAGGTGTCTTCAAACAAAGCCATTTTGCTTTAGCTCAGGCGAGTTACAACATAATTAATAACGCTAAAAAAAATTCGTCATATGTATGTACATAATTTTTTAATCAACAATTTTAAATCTAACAAATTTCCATATTAAATGTGCTTGTAAGCAAATGTTTTTTTAAATCTAACGATTACGATGATATTTTTTTTTGTCACGAAGCTAAAGACGGGCATTGGCCGAGTGGTATCGCCCACCAAACGTTTCACAAAGCGTGAAGAGTCATTCTTACTGTATGAGATTCACGCACTTCTGATCAACATCTAGAGAAAATGCTAACCTGATTGGTAATTGGATGCATTTTTTTCGCGAAAACTTTGCAAATCAGCAGGTTTTCCAAGGTCCTTGAGAATTGATCCGTCAGCGAACCTCCGATATCTCCGGAGGTGCGTTAATAAAACTGAGGTGAGAACGAGGAAGATTTTGAAGGAACATTCTCACTGCCAGAAATATTTCTCAAGCCTGATTGGTGAATTTTTTATGAGTAAAAAATGTTTCACCAATCAGGTTCTTATTGGTATGAGGAAAAAAAAAGTTGAAGTACAGAATACTAAATTATTTACTTTTGTCCCGCAGTTATTTATTATTGTTTACTTTAATTATTGTCCCGCAGTGGACTGATCATTAAGAAACGGTTCCCAGTAGATCACTGAAGTCAAGTATCACTGGTTGCGGTCAGTGTGCGGGTTGGTGAAAACTTGGATCAATCTGCGTTGAGACCGAGGGTGTGCGGCATTGGTCCTCGTTAAACTGTTCTACCGTAAATTGCTCTGCTTCGCTTACAGGTCGTCGGGCTACCGAAGCGGAGGTGCCATCCCCTCCTCAGAGGATCAAAATTGCAACGCATAGTACTTTATCTGCAACGCACTACAGCTTCACAGCAGACTATTGGCGATTGTCAGTGGCGGTGTTAGCTCAGTGGTTTGAGAATTGGATTCTGGACCAGAGAGCCGGGGTTAAAGATAAATCACAAAATCAGTGATCGGATCTTTCAGCAATACCATGGGTACAGGTATCTAGAAAATTAAATTCCCCTTCAGATCTATGTCAAAATTGAGGAAGTGGCCTAACATGGCATGGGTTCGGATCATCCTTAAGAAAGACCCGTTTTCCAGACCATCGCCAATACTCTATTGAGAAAATTTAGTGTGACGTAAGTAAACTACACACCCACCTACAACGATCAGAGAAACATCCCTGAGGATAATCCAATTGCAATTTTCAGCAGAGAGGTTGGCTCCACCACTTTTGTAGCTCAACAACCAGTGCGTGAAGTCAAGCACTATATATTAGAAGAGTTTAACGAAAACCGATGCAACCCACTTCTCGTTCCCTTCCCAGACTGATCATCATCCCTCTCACTGAACACTGTCAATGATGCATGATTGCGGTGATCGACTGGTAATCATGCCTTACGATCAATTCATTCTGAGACGATGCGTATTTTAAAAAATAAAATATTTTATTTTCTCAGGAATTAAATTCTATCTTCACGTAAATAAACTTGTCAGATAAATATTTGTTGACATAAAACTTTGAAGTTAATATTTTTGCCTTTTTTACACGTTTCCTCTTTTGATGTTTAATTAGTCTCCCGCTGTACTCAGCTGCCAGCATGAACATCTTTCAAGTTTATCTATTGTAGGGAGCACTCTAGCCTTCACACCTATTTTATATGAAAACTAGCCAACATAGGACAATATAAGACCTCCAAACCTACTAGGGCTGACTTTACCACCCTCCTTAAATTCTGTCATAGAGTAGATCCCCACGATCGATATGTACAAGACAAGTACCAAAGTTGTGTGAAGTCATTGTGTTTCCGTCAGCCATGCAGCTAAGAGGAGGTGGGGGGGGGGATCCGGACCCTCCTATCCATACTTTTTTGAAACATTTTGAAGCTAAAAATTTTTTCTAATTTTAATTCAATTAATTTTTTTAATACTTCAATGATTTAGTTTTATTCTATGGGATCACCATCCTTACTACTTAAAAATTACACGTTGTGTCTTGCAACTACATATGAAAATGTGACGCATTTTTTCCCTCTTGCCAAAATTTACGGTGTTTTTGAATGATCTTTGTCCATTCTATAGTCTAATGTTCACATTAACTCCGTCTCTCAGCCCTTTATATTTCTAAACTAAATCTTTTAATTTTTTGATGGACACGATACGTATCAGTTTTCTTGTGTATTTACAGTTATTTGTGCCCTCTGATTATGGCAGGAACTACACATCGCAAGCCAATGGTTTTGTTAAAGTGTGCTTAAAATATTTAACAGCAAAACATTGAGCGTACCCACAGTCAGCAATTTGTCATTTAAATATATATATATATATATGTTTTTTTTTAACAATTAATTCTCAGGGTATCTTACTTGATTAAATAATAAAAATAATGTTTGCTAATGATCCACTAGAGGTACAATGGGATATTGATATTGTTAAAGATATCATGCTTAGTAATGATCTGAAGACAATACTTGCCGATCCTAAGGACAAGCATCCATCTAATACTTATTGATAAGTCCTATTACAAATTTGAGCCGTGATGGCTCAGAGATAGAACGTTTGCCTTTAAAAGGGGTGAACTGAGTTCGAATCCCAGCAATCGCTAGTTGATTTGAATTCCGCATTCACCTTGTACCGACCACAGAATTGATGCAAAATATCCCCAATGGTAGACAAATGATGGGTTAGAGTCAGTTTGCCGTCAGGCTATTCGTGGGAGGTTTTACTCTCCATTCAACACAAATGGGGGTTAGTTCCAACAAAAAAGTCCTCCACGAAGGCAAATTGCTCCCAATGCTTGATCCAGGAGTTCCCTTGTCTTCTGAATCGGGTTCAAAATTACAAGGCTACGGAGTTTAACATTAGTAGTCATAAACCTTAAAATTGTGTCGGCTTTTCAATAATGGTCATAAATATAAAACAAATTTGTGTGAATTCAGACCAACTTTCCTAGGGCTGGCCGGATTTAGTACAAGTACCGATTTCAGAAATTCTAGAAGATGAGTAGTCCAAAAGCATCACATTTTATGACACATTTACGTATTAAACAAAAGACAAAACAAAACTTTTCGAAAATTCTTTATTACTTTCCAAGTTACTTTAAGAAAGTTTGAAATTCCATTACTCAAAAATTAATCTTCTTTTATTATGAAGATTTGTTTTATTGCAGATAATTTTGGTACACAATTAAGTTTTCTTGATAACAACTTTAACATTGAACCCTTCAGGGTTATTCAAATTCAGAGATTATGTTCATGAAATATGTTATTCTAAATTTTAATATTGAATAGTAGAAATATAAATTAAAATACAACCGAATTGGAGAAAAAAAAACCTTAATGACTATAAAAAAAATAAAAACTTTTTATACATGAACTACAAAACCATTTTTGCCTATTGCACATAAGCAGGTGGATGACATATTGACATTAGTTAAAGAAACAACAGTTTTATCAGGTTTAGAGCCATTAAAAGTCAACTCTAGTTGCCACTTAACTGAATTTCTCCATGTCTGTCCAAGAATTTTTTTATCACTTGTTTCATTGTTTATAATTTTTCTCCTTGTAGCAAAAACTGGGATTTTACAATTTTGAGACATCTTTTTGAGTACAGTGGCTATTTGAGTATAAAATTTCAGTAAATTTTGATGGTGATTCACATATTTCATTTTGTCACTCCAATAAAATGATGTCATTCCATCAACCATTAAAACAGTCTTATAATTCTCCAAAGATAGCAAAGTTTCTAAAGAATGCAGAGTCACCAAGAACTGCTCGCTGTTGAAACATTTGATAATTTCCAGACACCTTAAGCGTTCATTTATGAAAACAGACATTTCTTCAGATTTGATGCAAGTTGATTGACGCATAAGTTTTATTCGTGTTTCAAGTATAGTTATCAGCCTTAGTAAATCAAAGCGACAATCATTATCAATAAAGATGACTCTTAAGTTTAGACCATCTAACATCAAACCTTTCCAGTTATCCGGTAAAATGCAACGAGCTATAAAGTGGTAGAGAAGCTCGGTTTTCCCTGCTCCTGATTCCCCATATATTTCAACTATATCTTCGGGCTTCAAGGAAGGAAATAAATTCTTTTCAAGATTGTAGTCAGTTAAAACATTGGTATATCTGGAAAGAAACTAAAAACATTTTTAATTAATAAACAGTAAAATAAGAAGAAAACAAATTATTACAAAATTTTCCCTTTAAAGATAACTGATTCTTTATTTTAAGAAACATTAATTTAAAAATAAAACATGGAATTTTAATGATTTGCAAGACAGTCAAAACATTATATATTATTAATAAAATTAAATAAAAACGAAACATTTCAGGAAAATTTTAGCAAATGATGGTTAAAGAAATAATAATGTACCACAAATAGGATGAAGCAATGTTACCTCGGATCCTTGTTATCCTTTAAACAATTCCACTGTTCTGTACCCTCCAGATTTGTAGCCTTAATTTATTTACATCTATTATCGAAACTTTAAAACATCCCTTTTTCATATCAATTCAACATTAAAATTTGAGCCATACAAATATTGAAAGAAAGGATTTATAGTAGATGTACATAATAATCAGACCCTGATTATTAAATAGATTTGTAGAGACTAGGACTGAGTTACTATTGTTTAAATTATATAACATAGCTTAGTATTGAATTTTTTATTAATATTATAATATTATATTATTTATAATATAAGTATATATTTAAAATATATTAATATATTATTACTAAGTAAATTCTTTGCATTAAGTTTAAATATAATTTCAATTTCATATAATTTTGCCCCATATGTAAAGTATTCATTGATCCCAACCTCTAATATATATTATTAGAATTCTTATAAATAATCAAGAAAAGAAATATGTACAATCTAGGATACAAACTAATACTTAAATGAGAAAACAAAACAAACAAAACTTCAGAATTCATTAATAATTAGAAAGAGATTGAAAATATCAAAACAAGTGTGATTGCCAAAAGAAACTTAAAGAGTGAAAAATGGCACTTAAAAATACCTTCAAATTTCAGACGGTTATCAAACTATTATATTTTGATAGTTATATAATATTCATAGTAGATATGTAAATCACATATACACATACATACATACAGTAAGCATTTGTATATATATATGCAATTTTTTTAATCTCTTTTCTCAATGATTATTTGTCAAATCATGATAACATATTCATTTTTCCTTTTTTTAAATATTAGTTTAATTTCAACAGAGCATACTTAAAGGCTATTAAGAGCTATTTTCAAAGGGCATATTTTTTTTTTAAATGTTTCTAAAAATTAGGGACTCCAGATAGTTATACAAATGTATGGAATACTATATGGCTATCAACTACATGTAAAAATAAGATTATCTTGTAATAAATTTTCTGTAAAAAAAAATTCAACACAGCCTTTTTAAATTTAAGAAGAGCTTCAAAAACCTTAATAGCTAAAATTAATTTTAGCTATGTTTTAACCTAATCTTAAAGCATCAATTATTTAATATAAATGACAATAAGTATTCACATCACAATTACAGTGCACAAAGAGATTAAAAAAAAATCTTTGTTTAAATGTTCAGATCTTTAAGAACTGAGTGCAATATTCAGAGGCCTTAAATGTGGTTATTAATTAATGTAATTGATATGTGTAGTTAAAAAATCAAATGCAAAAGTATACTTTCTTTAAATAAACAAATTTTTCTCCCAACAGATTTTGGTTTTTGACAATAAAACAGGAAGGGGTGGAAAAAAACATGATTCGGAAAAAAAACAGTGCCAATAGTTTCGTCCAAAGAGAAGTCGGAAGTTTGGATTCCTAATAACTATTTTCCCTTTTTGAGAATTTTGTTATATCTCGGGAAGTTTAAGTGAATGGATTTCCTAACAATAAAATTCATTTAAGCAAAGATGATTCAATGTAGATTTCAAAATAAATATTTATTCAATATTTTTTATTTCCTTTAATAATGGCCAAAAATTATGAATTGTAAGGTATACAAATTTTTGCCTTACTTTAAGCTTAGAAATTTTAAATAATAAAAAAGTCGAAGATTATCTTACATATTTTTTATGGCCAAAAATCCAAATCCATCAGGAAAAAAATATGTTTATGCAAAGAATGTATGATATAGTAATGCAAAATATTTTTTTGCTCTAATTAATTAGCACAATTGAAGTCCCTCTTTTGAACCTCTGAGATATTAATCAATACATGAAAATTCAACCATTAGAACAAAACTTATTCAGGATGATATCTTTTTTCCTTCGTGCACAGGCACCAACCAATAAAATTTGGCATTTCAGCACAGATTTAAGAACAGTACTAAGATTAATAAAATGATGTTCACTGAAATACATTTTCAGATTTTAAAATAAAGAAAGTTATAATATTTAAGAACTAAATGATAGTAAAACAAACTATGTTCAAAGCAAAATTTATATAAATTTGTAACAAAGTAAATTGTAATCCATTTCAATCTAAATAAATTATTAACAGCAAAAATATATGAACAAACAGTTTCAGCTAAACAAATGGTTATTCTTAGAAAAAATGTACCACATGAGATAATTTTTTTAACAGAATAAATCAAAGCTAAATATTTTTTTAAAATATTATGGAAATAAAAAAAAATAAAAAAAATTTAAAAATATTTTTGAATAACATGGAAATATGGAAGATTTTTAACATAATTAAATATTTATTGCAGAATAAATGAAGAAGTATAAATTAATTGATGACATGAAAATATACAATATAAATAGAAAGAATAAAGATTAAATCTAATATCCTCATAAGTTTAATTTCAGTTGCAGCAATTTAGTTCAACTGCAAAGGTTTTTTAAGTTAACTTTTCATCTATGCATTTTTAGAGTTATTTCTTATTCTTAAATTTAATATAGAATAATCACAAAACGCAATTCCACTAAAAAATTTCAAATTTCAAAAACGTTATGATAGATTTATGATTTAGAACAAATAATAGTATACTACAAAAATCTGCTTCCATCAGTAACTAACTATTCAGGTATTTTTTTTTTCAACTAATATTTGTTCCAAAATGTTATAATTAAAATACTTAGACTCTTTTTGTGTTTATTGCACCTTTTGCGTAAGAAAAAAAGTCAACTTAGAATTATTGATGTAGTTATAGACTATACATCAGTGATTTGGCCAAAGCACTATAATGCTTCAAATGCAATAAAAATTGCAAGGGGAGACATGAAAAATATGTTATTAAGCGTTCAAGAAACACATAGTTTTGCAGCATGAAAAAAAGTAGCATATTACCAACATTATAACCAAACTATAAATATATAATTATAAAAAAAAAAACTTTTTCTTCTTCATTCTTAGCTGAAGAAAACAATAACTCTGAGTATCATATCAAATTGTAGCTTTTCTTTGCTACAAGTGCTTGATCTGTTCTAATTAAAGCCTTTATTTTTCCAATATTACTCGTCTCTTGGTTTGAAATTCTTTGTTTTAGATGTTACATATTAATAGATCAATAAAGGTAGAAAATTCAAATTTTAATTTGGGACCTGCTTTTAGTGGAAAGGGAACCAGAAATTTAGTATTGGGTTCTAAGGATTCATAGTTTCCAAAGTCTAGCGGTATCACTCATACATTGACATATCGAGTGTTCTTAAAACAAGGTGCAGCTAGATTTTTTAACAATGTGTGCAGATAGATTTTTTAACAAAAAATGAGCACCTTTTAAGTACTTTTTAAGCACTTAAAAAATATTTTTAATCACTTTCCAAAAAAAAAAAAAATTCATAATTAGGATCTGTACTGTAATAAAAGTTTTATATTTGTCTACCATTTAAAGTTTTTAATTTATAAACATAAAATTCAAAAACATTTTCAAACACTTTACATAATCATGATAAAATAACTAGTTTTTGATAAATATTGTGAAAATCATGCATTTTCTGTAATTTAGAACGACAATCTACACTGCAGAGAAAAACACCTCTTCTTAAAAGATAGAAAATTAAGTACCTTTTACAAACCCAGAATATAAAAAGTCCCTTTAAGGGCTTATAAAAAATGTAAATTAAAAATAAGCACTTTTTAAAAACGCTGCGCACCCTGTAAAATGATAGACCAATTGAAAATCGATTAAGGAAAAATGGTGGGAGATAGAAATGCATGGTTTGTTATGTTTATCATTGAAAACCAGAATATTTTGTTTTGCCAAGTAATAAACATAGCTACATAGTTTAGGAACAGATGGCGCCTCTGATCGGAGAAATTATATAACAATGATTTATTTTCCATGTCAATGCTATTCTAATAGAAATATTTGCACAGGTGTCTATTAGTTTTGATGCTTGGCTTTGTCAATTTGTGATTTACAAATTATTTCTGGAAATTGTAGGCATTGAGAAAATATTTTTTAAAAAATCCTTTTTGTTCAGTTGGCATTGATTAACAACCATTGTGTTGTACGTGTTTATTAAAATCCAGCTAAAAGTGCCCTGTTTACAATCACGTCTATTAATAACTTTTTCATTATATCATTCATTATATTCAGAATATTCTGCTGGTTATGCTGAATTAGTTAACAAACTTAGTTATAATTTCTGGAACTTTGTGAGAAACACACCTATTTTTCAAAGCAGAACATAACAAGTTTTATCTTCTGTTTTTTCTTCTTAATTTTCTATTCTAAGTCATTCCTGGGACAACTTGTATGATAACCATCAACAATTATTAAATAAAATGAGATATTGCGTTTACAATTATTAATGTGTTGTATTACACTTCATAAATGAATAAATAATCATAGATTTAATTAAATAAAAATAAGTATTAACAGTTTTTCACTTTAATCTAAGTCACAAATGTTTTGTAAAGAATAAGAAGGTTTAAATTTTTCATGTTTATAAGTTTATTTTATAAGTTGACTACTGATATTTGTCATACAGTTATATAAATGACATAAGTTTTTCATAAAATGAAAAAAGAAACCAAGTATTAATAAAATCAAATAATTTACCAGATTATAATAAATCATTAAGATAAAAATCAACTCAGAGCACTTCTCAAGAGGTGTTAGTAAAAACGTAAACAGCAGTAAATTTTTAATGCTATTCATGATTTAGAGTACCTCTTTATGCAATATACTGTTCTATTTAAAAAAAAGTAAAAAACATTGTCACTATAATCACTTTTTTCATTGAATTTTAGGGCATCAGATTATCTTACACAATAAATTTATGTGAAAAACTATCAACATGGTGTGCATTACATTATTTCGATAATCCTACACTTCAAGTGTAGAAAAATAGAGTTTATTGCCTTATTGTTAAATATTTTATAAAATGCCAGAATATTGAGAAATTGTTCTAAGGATAGATAAACAAGTTAAATTACTTACTGTAATTTATTTTCTGTTAAAATAATAGCAATTTTTTTACGTTACTTTTTTGAACATGAATCAAATTACTATTTTTTGAAAAACAATTCAAAGTAAAATAAAACTTATCCATGACAGCCATTTGTTAAAGATATTATCAAGTAACTATCCTATTTAAACTTCATACTATTATTTTTAGCTGTAAATATATAGACACTTTAAAAAAAAAATCTTTTTTGGTTTTACATTGCTTTGATTCACCTCATAAATCCCCAAAATTGGCTTTTTTGGTAAGAAAAAGTATTTTTAAAGAAACAGAAAATATGAAGAAAACTTTTGCAATAATCAATGTTATTTCTGGTCATTAGATGGAACTATATAATTACTCTAAACTTTTGGTTGCGAATATAAATTTAAACTTAATTGTAATCTGAAGAATAGATCTTAAAGTTTAGAACAAGTGTTATGCTTCCACCTTTTGAAAAATGCCGTATAACAAACTACAAAGATTTGATAATTACCTGAGAACCTTTTTCTTCAATGAATGTTGCCATTGCTTCATTTACTGCCTATTAGCCATCTAGAACAAATATTATATAAACACATTTTAGTCATATATTATAAATTTATTTGAACCTATAATGAAAAAAAAATTAATAATTCATTAATTAGAGTTCTTAAAGATTTATTTTAGATGACATAAGAAAAACCATGTCATAAAAAGTTCAGAATAACGGAACATTTATTCAAGATAGTCAATAAAATTACTTTTTTCTAAGAATTAAGGAACTTTGCTGGTAGTGATATATTTAGTCTATCCAAATAAACTCTTTAAAAGAGTTAATTTACTGTAATTACTACTAAAGTAACAACAAAACAAATTCCATTAAAAGAAACTTTTTTATTTATACCTTTTTTTTTTATTTTTAAATCATACTAAACAGGTAAAAAGCATAGGATAAATGCACTATAGAAAAATAGAATTAAACGCATTAGCAGTATTACAAAATAATGCGGTTTTTATCAAAATGTGACAATTACAAAAGAAGAAATATAATTTTGAGAAAACTGGAGTATACCTTATTAAAATTTTAAAATGAGAATTTTTCGTTTCGTAAACAATTAAAAGAATGCAGGGTTTGTATATAAATTTGACAATTTAGGGATTTTTAAAATGCAAATACAGTGAAATCTCCTGTTATGGACACTCCTGCAAAACGGACATATTTTTAATTCCCCGGTAACCTTCCATGAATAAACCATTATGTACATTCTCAACAAAGCGGACACTCCCGTAACCAGACGCGGACAGTCATTTCTACCCTGAAACGTAATTTTCCATCTTTTAAACCGGACACTACTTTTTCTAACTTTGAAAAAAAAATATTTCTGCTTTAAATTGCAAGGAAAAAAATACAACTTTTAGACATTTTTAAAACATGTTTATTTTTTTGCCTTATCCAGAACTAAAAATATTGTTAAGCTATTTCACTACTAAAGAATCAATCTTTCTCCTATCATCCTGCCTTATCGTTGTAAAGAAAGGAGAGAAAATGATACTGCTCTCCTGAAATAATTCGGACAGCGGCATCTTTTGATCCTTTCATCTGGACCACACAGGTTAAGACCCCTTAAGTTAAAATGACATCTCTTAAAAGCTCTCAATGCTTCGTTACCATTGAAAATTTCTTTAATTTTCTTATCAATTTGAAGACTGGAGTAAAAAATAGAACAGAAATATAATCTTTGATGTGTTCATATAAATGCAACACTTACTCAGACACTTGATAGCTGATCATAGGTCCTCATAACTTAGCTGTGAATGACTGTGAATTGTGGGAGGTTTACTTTCAAGAAGGAATTAATCATGTTCCCCATCCAATGATAGGTAGGTGTAAGGGGATGTTACACTTTACATTTACCTAAAAATTGAAATCGACTGACGACTATAATCTCCTATTCCATATCATATGTCTGACTTCAGTATCTGTGCTAATAGGAAAATTATATTAATTTATCTGTAGCTACATCTAGAATTATGTATTTATATGAAACTTCTTTATATATTCTTTTTTCTCTTTTTTAAAGCGTAAAGAAATATCCTTGTAGATAGTTATTGTAAATTAAATTATTTCTACATCTTTGAAAATATTCTAAAAACAATTAACAGTGCTAAACTTCGTTATTAGGGTACCCTTCCAGTAAGCGGACAACTCTCCTAAACGGACAATTTTTTCGGTCCCTAGAATGTCCCCTTAATTGAGGTTTTACTGTATTTCCATAAGAAATATGTTTAAAAAAAATTAAAGTATTAGTATAAATAACAATGAAGATTTAAGGTAAATAAATGTTGAAAATTATTAGAAAAAACAAAAATGCACAAAAATTATGATTATAAAATACACACAACACAAATGTAATTATGAAAACATAATCTGTAAAATTTTAAAACTATTTCCAGAGTTTTGATAATGATTTATAGAGAAACTTCTAAAAGAAAATAACTGTTCAAGAGTGGAAGTTTACTTTATTACACTATATTTTATAAAAAGTTAAAATTTGTTTTTGCCTGGAAACACGCTAAGGGGTCTAAAGGGGAAAAACTAGTTATATTTCTAGTAATATTCTCTTTTCAGCTTACAGTAACAAGGCAAGGTACTTTCGCATCAACATGATACAAGTAAATTAAACTATTTTTGTACAATTATTATTAAAAAAAAAAAAAAACAGAACGGCTNCTCTTTAAAAGAGTTAATTTACTGTAATTACTACTAAAGTAACAACAAAACAAATTCCATTAAAGGATATATAACTCTTTTATTTACACCTTTTTTTTCATTTTTAAATCATACTAAATAGGGAAAAAGCATAGGATAAATGCACTATAGAAAAATAGAATTAAATGCAATAGCAGTATTACAAAATAATGCCTTTTTTATCAAATTGTGACGATTAGAAAAGCAGAAATATAATTTTGAGAAAACTGGAGAATACCTTATTAAAATTTTAAAATGAGAATTTCGTTTCGCAAACAATTAAAAGAATGCAGGGTTTGTATATAAATTTGACAATTTAGGGATTTTTAAAATGCAATTATTTCCACAAAAAATATATTTAAATAAAATTAAAGTATTAGTATAAAAAACAATGAAGATTTAAGGTAACTAAATGTTGAAAATTAATAGAAAAAACAGTAATGCACAAAAATTATGATTATAAAATACATACAATACAAGAAATCATTTGTAATTATGAAAACATAATCTGTATAATTTTAAAACTATTTCCAGAGTTTTGATAATGATTTAAAGAGAAACTTCTAAAAAGAAACTAATTGTTCGAGAGGGGAAGTTTACTTTATTACACCATGTTTTATAAAAAGTTAAAAAAAAAATTTGGCTGGAAAAACGCTTAGGGGTCTAAAGGGGAAAAACTAGTTTTATTTCTAGTAATATTCTTTTTTCAGCTTACAGTAACAAGGCAAGGTACTTTTGCATTAACAGGATGCAAGTAAATTCAATTATTTTTGTACAATTATTATTAAAAAAAAAAAAAAAAGAACGGCTGTCACGTGTCAAAAAATAATAGCAAATAAAGTAAAATAAATAGCTATTTTTAATAGTGGCGTTAAAATTTTAACGTTCTTGAAAGTGGATGATAATCTGGATGCCATGATAAAAATGCCAGCTCACGCTTATGATTACTATTCTCTAAAAATGATAAAAAAATATCTAATACAATTAACGAATAATAACGGATAAAGAAAAATCGGAGTAAGTATAACACGATAATCATTGCATAACTCAGTAATAAATTCACAACAGCGTCAATATTGAGCATAAAGAAATACATGAAAAGATTGAAGGAGATTACTCGATAAAATAATACCAAAAATAAATCGTCATGAAAATACTTGAAATTAATGCATCAAAAGCAAACAAATATCAAAATGTAATTGTCAACTAACTAAAATAAAAATCTAAGTCGGCATAGCAGAACTTGTTTTAAAAATTGTGGATATGGGAATTAGTCTCAGAGCTTTAGAAGTAATTTAAAGTGTGCTTATAGCTTGCAAAGTAGAAGCTTATTTCTGTTCGACTAAAATTATCGAAATTCATGCTGGAAAGCCCAGTGATTTACACTATTTTTGCATGACGTTAAGATCATGCATTAATGAAATAAAACTGAAAGGATATGTAGATTTACGGGATATGTTTTTTTTTAATTACAATAACTTTACGAAATGATTTCACAAAATGCATGTAGTTCTACTGCTATTTTCTTACTTTAATTTCTTACGATATAAAATCTTTGAAAAGATTTCGGAAAATTACCTTTCTTTTTTATAGAATAATTTTGTTGAATTTTTATATGTGTTGAAAAGATATTTTACCCATTTCAGTGGAACGCGATTTATTTAATAATTGTTACAATTTGGAATCTTTTCGTCAATTGTTAAAAAAGAAGAAATAACGAAGAGAATAAACTCCAGATATTTTTTTTATCTGATGTAACATACAAAAATGCAGATCTAAAATTATTAAGATTAATTAACAATTTTGAAGGAAAAAAAGGCGTTGTCAGGAATGAATGTTGTTAATTTTAGTCAAATTACTTTATTACGATAAATAAAAAAAATAGTAAGGGAGAGAGGGATATCTTTAAATTTATAAACACGAAGCTTAGTCAACCTCAGCCATTTGCCTGAATGCTGCTTTCAAAGAAAGGTATTAATTGTTTTTAATTCTTGATTTAAAGATAATAACAATTACAGCTACAGGTTATTTTTTCCTTATTGTTTAATTTTTACGAATATTTTAACAAGTTGTTATTTTGATATTTTTATTTTAGTATTAGAATACTTCTTTAAAAGTGCTTTCTCTTATAGAACTATGTGATAATGAAGCCTTTAAAAAGAGATGAAATGGAAGAAGCAGTAAAAGAAACTAAGCGAAAACTCCTGAAATAGTAAAGGAAGATTCAAAGAGCGGAATTTAAGCTTGTTTTAGAGCACAAAATATTATCAAGACATGCAGTAAAAACGTGAAGTTATATAATTATTGTATCAGGTGAAAATGATCATTATAATGAGATTAATTGTAGTAGTAAGATTAACTATTCTACAACATCCAATTTCTCCATTGCCTAGTACAATAATAATAAACTGCTTTTCTTATTTGTTTCTTACTTATTAAAAAAAAAAAAAAAAAAAAAAAAAAAAAAAAAAAAAAAAAAAAANAACTCTAGACGATTTGGCATCTTTTCTTATTGCGACGGAGTGAAGTTAACCAAGCTTAAGGACAAAGCATAAATGTTTGATTCTACTTTGTCCAAAATCTAAACAAATACCAGTTTTGAGACATGTTTGTTGCTCTATAGGCAAAACTTGTTACGTGACAGAACCGGTTAAGCTTCTTTTCTAGCTTCGAATAACAACGAAACGAGGCAAACATTTACATAGAAAATTATACTGTCAAGAGACTCCTCGTAATTCTATTCGAACATTAGTTAGTGCGACACACACAAAAAAAAATGGCGTTGAATAGATAAAGTAGTTTCTGATACGGTGTAATAGTTTATCTTAACAAAAGAAGGATGACAAAATTTTTTCACTTATCACACATTTCTCCTATTCCAAGCTTTGCTTCATACACATGACGGATCTCATATTGAACTAAAAATATATTTATTTCCAGCTCAGCTAACGCAATTGAAAATGAAAATAAATTATGCTTGTCATTCGACATATTTTCAGACTAAACATTGAATTTAAATGGGGGTCAAGCAAATCGTAACCAGAAATATTTTGATTGCTTTTTGCGCAAAATAATAAAAAGGGGAAAATCCTTCAAATTATTTTTCAAGATATTAGCTTAGATAATGAGTTATTTTTCTCCTTTAAAAGCTTCTTGATCTTATTTACGCTTTGTTGAATCCTAATCCGACTTTATTGAGCAGCAAAAATAAGTAAATCTCATTACTCACCACTCAAACAATATTCGAAAAACCTCACTGTTTTAATTTTAACATCTTTTACTTACCTTTAGCTTACTTTCATGCTTATTTGTGAGGTTTCAAATCTTCTAATCAAAAATTTAACCACTTTTCCTAAATACTTAAGATTCAATGTTGGATTCCTATGTCGAATGACAATACAATTTTCAATAATTTCCCTTACAAGCAAAATTTTTAACTAATCGAAAATGAACCATTAAAGATTCGCCATAATATTCTATAGGGAGTGAAAGATTCGCCATAATATCCATATCTGTAATTCCATATGAATAATTTCTGCGAAATTCATAATAGTCATACATCGATTTAAACTCATGTGATAAATAAATAATGAATTTTTCAACCTTTATTATTAAAATTACTCCTTTCACTTTCTATGAAAGAAATTTTACATTGCTCAACGGCGTATGCCTAGTTAATGTTATAAAAAGTTTAGTTATAATTGGAATTGATAACATGTAAAATTGATCAGAAAGTTCACTGCTTGATGTAGTAATGATGAATAAGCAAGCAAGGGCCTAACATATAAAGGAAGAGGCGTAAAAACCAGATTCGTTATTCCAAAAATAATATTAATTTTCTTTATCATCTATTGTGTGTTTAGTTATACTAACGAAACACGGGCAATTTTTGCATAAAGGAAAAGCATACAAACGGGGCCATTTTCATTCCAAGTAAATCTCGCTAATTTTAAACATAAAAAATAAATATTTGTATTTTTAACTTACACGGTTTGCTATAAAAATGCTCAGTTAGGTTTTTTAAATGTCAGGCACAATATTTTTGGAATGAGAAATGCTTGTTTTTATAACTGATATTAAAAGTGCATGCATTTCTGAATAGAGCGGATTTTATGGTTCTTTTCTCGAAAAGAGCTGTCCTTTTTAAAAGAGGAAA